TTAGTGGTTTTGCATGTACCATTCGAAATGTATTGCTGCGTAGTGTTGCAATTGTTATCACCTTAAGATTTATACCTCATATTATTAAGATTTTTTTCATCATTTTATGTGCAAGGACATTACTACTGTCTTTGGCAACATAAACTCTAAACTCTAACCAGCAAGCACTTCAAGACTAATAGATTACTGTTTCAAACCAAAAGAACAACTGTTTACTAACACAAACCAAAACCAAAAAGCATCTCAAAGCCACTTGGGGTTCTAACTGTTCTCCCTCACAGACTCTTAGTATACATGCAACACCATATCTTTAGATTCTACAATAACACATTTTAAACCGTCTATTCTACCTAAGATCGCTGCGCAATTGGCGAAAGTAGCCTCTAGGGTTTTGCTCGAATCTAGACCGAAAAATGCGCATATTTCGCCCCGGAGCTTTCATAGTCTTGCCACACTTGCAACAATATGAGCAAGCTTTTTTGAACACCACAAGCATCAAGATCACGACAATTGCTAAGCCGATGATCTTCACGACTCCTAGTTGCTCCCATTTGATGTTGGTTATAGAGGTCCGAACTAAACTTACGGAACAATATGAAAATATGATCCCTCATTAGCATAATTGAAAACTTGTAAAATAATTGCAGCATTAGTTCCGTGGTCTGAATCTCAGTTTTCAAAGGAATCAATCATGGTTAGAACTCTGTGCCTCAAAGAAACCCAGCTTACTAACCAAAAGACAATGAAAATGTAAACCAAAATAGTGATACTGTCAGGCCCAAACTATGCATTGCAATGACCACCTAATTTAAATGTGGAAACAATTTTAAAATTTGAAAAAAATAGAGAAATTGGAAAAACAAGGGAATATGGAACAAATTGCTGCAATCAATGTTTCAAAACCCGAATCGTTTGGGCTTTGGATTGGTGATCCTGTATGGGTTTCGATTGGTCAGAATTCGTGATCTAAAAAAAATTTAAAACATAAAGGACATGTTGCCAGCCCACATATTGTAAAAATGCGAGCTTGTCACTAAATAGATTTTTAAATATAATTTGATCCTAGTTTTTAGAGAATATATAATCTTCAACATAAAGATCATGAATATGAAAAAAAAAAAGAAAAAAAAGGTTTGAAAATTAGAAATAATAATTATATTAAAAAAACATTTGAACCATTAGTTACACCTGATTTTATATGGACCACCTATTTGCATCCCTCTTGAAGATGGATGTTTTATACCTCTGGACCAAATATTGTAGAAATGTGTACTAGCCCGCATCAAACAATTTCCTAAACATTAATGAAATAAAATAAAAATTAAATTAGAGGTTTATAGGGTGGGGATATAGATGGGACCCAATAAAATATTACATAAGATAAAAAAAAGATAAAAAATATATAATGAGGATTTTTAAAGGGAAAGCGGGGCCCGAGTCTATGCAATTCAGAACCGGTTCGCTTCTGATGATTCCCATCCAAATCGGGGATTCCCATCCAAATAGGGAATCGGTGGTTTCAAAACACGGGGTTGTGATAATCTATAATATCTGAGAGGCAAATGAGTCTCTGATCCATTGCACTGGCTTATCCCTTGGAAAAATAATAGCAAACGATAAAATAAAGAAGACAAAAACAATACAAAAACTAAAGGATGATTTTTAGAAAGTTACAAACACAGCCCGGTTTTCTATGATGCATCAAGAAATAAAGCAATCTGATTGCTCAGACTCAGCCGAGTTACTCAGCTGAGCTAGGGCCGCGTCCGATGCTCGAGCCGAGTTTAAAGACATCGGTTCTAAATTGAAGTGGGTAAAGCAAGGCAGTCTAAAATCTAAAAAACTTTGCAACATAGTGTAAAACAAAATAGAAAGGAAGACACAATTTTTCTGATTTCTTGCTATTTTTCTTTAGAGATAACACTACTCTCTTCAAATCTAATATGTTCCACAGGTAAATCACAGAGGAACATATTATAAATAACTATAACATAATTTAGGAAAGAAGATGGATAGATGGATGTGAACATACAGTACAAGAATTGAACTCATACCTTTCTTCGACAGAAGAGGAACTTCTCTTACTAAATACAGTATCCATTCTCTAAGATGTCCAAATAAATAATCAATAAAATGGGGCAAATCTTCATTCAGTACCATAGTTGTCCCTCTGCCTACTCCTTGCTTCTTCTCTAAGCATCTATGTTCAAGAAGAGAGCTGATATACTTGTGTAAATCTTTGCCCCTGCCCTTTCCTCTTTCACCAAAGGCGAGGAGAAACCTTTCTCGTTACCTCTTTTACTACTTGCTTTTCATCTTTTTTCATCTCTCTTTTGCCCTTTCTCTAGATGTGACTTAGACTTACCCGAGGGCCATAAAGTTATTTTATTTTATTTTTTTACTTTATTTTTATAAACCTTTTTTGAGGTAAAATTTGAGGCATAAATAATCAATTATGACGACCCAATAAAAATAGTCCAAAGACATTTTGAATAAAAATAATTGATCAAATACTCTTAAAATTTTTTTGAGGGTAATTTGGTCAATAGTTTTATTCAAAATATTTTTTTATTATTTTTATGATTTTTTCTATGAAAATGCACCAACATCCCAAATTTCATATCAATATAAACTTTTAATAAAAATAAAGATATAAAACAAAATTGATTTATGAACCTATGGGTATGGTCGTGTTCAATTAGAACTGTGTTTGACATGATGTGAACCGTAAAATTTCTTTTTTCTTTATTATCATACTTCTTTTATGAAATAAAAGTTACAAAAATATAAGAGTTATGAAGCTATCAATATGTATGCCACTCAAAGACACTCGAGCCTCTATTTATTTATTTTTCTAGCGTTCTCTACCAGTTCTTTGTTTTTATTTATTGTGTGTGATCATCATCATCATCAAAGCCTTTTTTTGCGACTATTTGGGATCAGCTACATAAATCTTAATCCTCCATTTTGCTCTATTAAGAGTTATATCCTCAATGAAGCCATAAGGCCCCATATCATTTCTCACTACTTCCAACCATGTCTTTTTGGGCCTACACCTTGCATTTTTTTATCCTTCCACTTGAACTAATCACACATCTTTAATAGGCGTTGTACTGGGTCTACGCTACATGGGGCCAGCCCTCCTAGGTCTATTATCTCTCATCTTATCACTTATTGCTGTCACGCCTAAATTTTTTCAAATGTACTCATTTCGAATTCTATCCCTTCTTATATTGTCACTCATCCATCTCAACATCTTCATTTCCACCATAATCATTCTTTGGGGAGATTATTTTTTCATCGCCTGACATTCTGTCTTATAGAGCAAAGCTGGTCCCACAGCTGTCCTAGAAAACTTACCCTTCAGTATCATTGATATACAGCGATCACATAAAATTTTGATTGCATATCTCCAATTCACCTACCCAGCTCTAATTCTATGTGTGACATCTTCCTCAATCTCTCCATCTTTTTGGATTATTGACACAAGATATCAAAAGTAAACTCGTTTTTTAATTCCTGGCTGTCAATCTTAACAATTTCCTCTCCTCTACTCCTATTATTAGTAAAATGGTATTCCATATACTTTGTATTAACCCTACGAATTTTAAAACATTTAGATTCTATAACATCCCTCCAAAGTTCTGATTTTGTATTGACGTTGTTTCGGGTCACATTGATCAAAACTATGTCATTTACGAACAAAATGCGCCACAATAAGCCATCTTGTAGATACCTAATTAAATCGTTCAAAACTAAGGCAAAGAGGTTAGGGCTCAAAGTTGAACCTTGATGTAGACCATTGGTAATTGAAAACGCACTCATCTCTCCACTTATTGTTCATATACTAGTTAGCGCTCCTTCATACATATTTCTCACCAAGTCAATGTAGTGTCTGGATACTTCTAATCACTTGAAAACAATCGTCCTCATCCCTTATGTTTCCCTTGGTTCTCTCTCGTCCAAGAATTAAAAACATGGTTTGGTGATCTAGATCACTACTTTGGATTTCCAATATAGTTCCGCACTAAATATTAAAATTAAAAAAAATTAACCGATTCTCACTTGCACTTTTGTAAGAAAACCAGCCAAACTGGCCATGTCATGGGGGGAACTTATCGCTTCCCGATATTTTACAAGAAATGGTTAGACGTTGATAATTCGCGATATGGATTGGATGATTCATATGAGTAAGTGTTTTTTAAGAACTGACTCCTCCCTCCACGGAAATCTTAGCACCTGGTAACCACAACTTTTCCTTTTTGGGTGAAAAAATTCCCCTTTAATAATTGCATAATGTTTTCATGCATTTAGTAAAAGTTAAAGCTAGTGAAAGTATGATAATTGCGAATTGTTTCCATACTTTATGTAGTGGGTGCCTTTATATAACGACATCGACCTCCATCAATTCTTCTTCCATGCAACTTTATTAGTAGAAGTAATGCTTTGTATGTCTTTTATTTGTGTTAAATCTATAGTATTTAAATAAAATAGATGGTGTAGATTACTGTAATATTATTTTTATAAATAAAGTTGCAACTTTATGTAAATTTTTCTTTTGTAGAAATCGGACAAAACCTAGTGAGGAGATTGCACGGTGAACTAAAGAGTGATGCGCGTGATATATCTTGTGCTTCTTTCTCATATGAGAGAAAGCAATAACACCTAAGGGCACGTTTGATCTTTTAGAATATTATGACAACATTAAACGTTGATGGATTCGCCCCTTCATCAATTTGTTCCAAACAATGTTTTAAAATCTGGACCGACAGGAGGATCATTTACCTACATATTTGCTTAATATCATTCGATCAGAGATCTGGATCAGTACAAATCCATGATCTAGAGAAATGTTAGAAAATAAATGAAATAAAATAAGGACACAGGTAGCATGCGGCCATCCCACAAATTGTAGAAATGCGGGCTTGGCAATAAATATAATTTCATCTTAAGTTTTAGAGAATATATAATATTTAACATGAAGATCATGAATATAAAAAAATACTTACATTTTGAAAACTAAAAATAATAATTATGTTAAGAAAACATTTGCACCGCTAGTTACAATTGTTTTTAGATGGACCACCTATTTACGTCCATCTTTAAGATGGATGCTTTATACCTATGGACCGCATATTGTAGAAATGTGGTCTAGAAATATTTGTTGATAAAACAAAAATTAAATTAGGGATTTATAGGGTGGGGATTGAGAGGGAATCTAAGAAAATATTAAAAAAGCATAAATAAAGAAAAAATATATATAAGGGGCTTTAGGGAGAACATGATGGGACCCATTTCATCCTAGAACTAGTTCAATTCCTACCAATTCCCATCTATAGCGGTGATTCGTATCGAAAATTGCTGGTTTTTAAAACACTAGTTTTAATAATGGATTTGTAGAGCTAGGGTCTCCTAAAATTTACCTTAAGATTTCTAAAATCCATCTTAGTTATGGATTTTTTTATGTAAATTCTAATCTTAAAATTGAGTATTAAAACTTTGTTTTTTTAGACGGTTCACATTATTTTTTAAAGAATATATTTTATAATATAAATTATAGGTTTTCAAGATTCATCGATCGTCAAAACTAGGGATTAAAAAATCGCCGAGTCACCACGGACTTGGCCGATTCGACATGGGAATCGGTCACCCCATGCAGATTTTAAAGTAAAATCGCAAATATTTGCCCATGTCTAGAAACAACTCGAACGAGTTGAACGACTTTGCCGTCATAGACCAGTTCATGACTTTTCAATATTCAAGGTCGTCAAAACCAGCGATTAAAAAATCGCCGAGTCACCACGGACTCGACCGATTCGACACGAAATAGGTCATCCCTTGTGCATTTTAACGTAAAAACCACATATATTTGCCCGTGTTTAGAAACAACCCATGTAGATTTTAACATAAAAACCACATATATTTGCCCGTGTCTAGAAACAACTCAGACGAGGCAATAACAACCGCATATATTTGCCCGAGTCTAGAAACGACCCGTGTGGATTTTAACGTAAAAACCGCATCTATTTGCTCGTGTCTAGAAACAACTGAGACGAGGTAATAAAACCGCATATATTTGCCCGTGTCTAGAAACAACTCAAACGAGGCAATAACAATCAGTATGGATTTTAACGTTAAAACCGCATATATTGGCCCGTGTCTAGAAACAACTTAGACGAGGCAATAAAAACCACATATATTTGCTCGTGTCTAAAAACAATTCAGACGAGGCAATACATACGAGGTAATAAAAACCGCACATATTTGTCTGTGTCTAGAAACAACTCGGATGATAACAACCCGTGTGGAGTTTAACGCAAAGACCGCATATATTTGCCCGCATCGGGTATATTGTCCGTGTCTTGAAACAACTCAGACGAGGCAATAAAAACTGCATATATTTGTCCGTGTCTAGAAACAACTCGGATGAGTCGAACGACTCCGCCGTCATGGACCGGTTCATGACGTCTTCAACACAGGCAAACGAGCCGAATCGGGTATACACGCGTGGTGGACACGTATGCAACAACGTCCATGGAGCGCCTGCCTTC